TAGGATGATAAGTAAAAAATGAAAATTTTCTCCAACTTCAATGGTTAAAATTTCCATTTTTCACTTTCTGTCCTAGGGATAAAGTTTCATGATAGATACCTAGGACTCTATGCACTACTAATGTCTAGAGATTCTCTAATAAAAGACGCGACATGAGAAAGTTACATTTTGATTGATCCGGCATGTTTTAATAATTCTTATATTTGAATATCTACATTCGTGCTACTTTTAAATTTCAACAATATAATTAAAATTAATTATTTTAAAGATATTAACAAATAGATTTCTTACATTACATGTCGAAATAACGCATGCGAGAAAAGAATTTACTGTTGCAGGCGTTCAATTTTTCATATCATTTCCTTAACATCTTTCGCTAACATTTTTCGCATAAAGCATTATTGTATATTTAACTATTTTTAATAATTGTCAGTCTGTTGAGCATGTATGTATCACATAAAAAGAAACCCAATAACGAAACATTTTGAAATATTTCATTGTAGCAATTACGACGTTGTTACAAACTTTGCTGAAATGTTTCTTGCTTACTGGAAGAGATCAAACCAGAGAAATCTGAAAGAGGAAATGACGGCTCAAAACCTGTAACCGCAAAATGCTGCCGCGCATTACTGCCTTCTGACAAAGTGGATGTGAACTACACAACAATATCCACCTCTTTGCGGTGCTCATGATGAAAATAAATCGCTGAAATCATTGAAATCTCTATTAATTTGATAAATTTTAGTTACTTTAGCGATTTCAATTAGCTATTTCCATCAAGAGCATCGCAAAAAGGTGGATATTGTTGTGTAATTAACATCTATAATACTTCTTCAGAAGGTGGCAATGCGCGACAGCATTTTGCGGTTACAAGTTTTGGTTTTCATCGTCATGTTCTTTCTCAAGTTTCTCTCTGGTATCATTCATTGATCCAGGCCTACCAACTATGAAGAAATAAATGATGTTGCTACGACTGATCTCTATGCATTTTTGTCAGATCTTGCTATGTGTCCTTTTCTCTCTTCGTTTCGATGTGTAGAGCAACATCAACTGTGTCAAGCGAATGTCAAATATAATTTCAAGTTTATTAGAGTACGTATTACGAAATTATTCGAAATGGATTCCTATTGGAATTATTCCATTATTCTTTAGATTTCTATTGTGTTTTCTAAGAAAAATGGAATAATTCCGTAGGTGCCTTGAGAATTCCCCGAGTTATATGGTGGTATAATTGTTGATACAAATTGTACACTGGCCGACAGAAATGCCTTTACACATTCAAGATGCGTTTCGGAACACAGTCGAAACGCATACTAGATGGGGTGAAAAGTAACCTCCTTGATCGCCAGAATGCGCCACTACTGCAAAAAAGTTTATGGTGCCTTGTAGTCCGTTCATATTTAGGCAGACATGCCAAGTGGCAGTGCGATACTGCCCTTAGTTTTGTTTTGAGAGCTGATTGTTGTTGACGTGTTTGCGAAAACGATTTTCGTTCTCTCATAAAACATTATTTTTTGAGAGGCAAAACGGCGAAGGAAACAAAAGAAAAGTTGGATAAATATTATGTGGCTAATACTCCGTCAGATTACAACGTCAAATATTGGTTTCGAGAGTTTCGTGGTGGCCGCAACTCCACTACCGATGAAGTCCGCAGCGGCAGGCCTTCCGATGCGGTTACCGAGGAAAATGTCAAAAAAATACATGAAATGGTGTTGGCTGACCGGAAAGTGAAGGTGCGCGAGCTAGCAGATGCTACAAAGATTAGTACTGAGCGAACACGCCATATTTTGGGCGAGATTCTGCATAAGAAAAAAATTTTTTTCATTCCCAAGGAGGTTACTTTTCACCCCACCTAGTACATACAATTATATGCGTTTCGACTGTGTTCCGAAACGCATCTCTCTTGAATGTGTAAAAGTATTTCTGTTGGCCAGTGTACTTATTTATTTATTTATATTTATGTATTGATTTGTTCATTTGTTCTACGCTCCTAATGCGGCTCCGATTTTATTTCTGAGACACCCTGTATATGAAAAATTCTATAAAAAAAAATATAAATATTTTGAGTATGAAATGTATTTCAAATATAGCTCCTACTCATTCCAACGAACGTGTTAAAGTGAGTTGGAGCTACAGTAGGAACATGCGAAGCAAACAAATATATTGGGTCATCTAAAAAGTATCCGCAGTTTTTTGTCACTAGATGTGTGTTGATGGTCATATATCTAGTAACAAAGTACCGCGAATACTTTTTAGATGACCCAATATATGATAAAAAGAAACGAACTTAAATGATGTGCTTGCGACGAAGACAATTAAGGATTATGAACTGGGACTACGAACAGTTACAAAACAAGCGAGAGAACAAAGAATTAGAAACTACATTTACATGGCACTCTTAATCAGGTTTACTAACATCAGTAGTTATGAAATTGACCAATCACAGTCGTTTCTTCTGAGAAACAACTATGATTGATCAATTTTATAACTACAGATATTTTAAAACGCGATTAAGCATGTCGTGTAATAGAGGTCAGACACTAGAGGGGGATAATATGAAGAGAGGGAGAGAGAGAGAGAGAGAGAGAGAGAGAGAGAGAGACGCTTGCAAACTGAGCATACCTAGAGTCCTATATTTATAAAAAAAAGCGCAACCGACTTATGTCAGTATCGCAAAAGTGCTAAAAAGTACTAGAAGTACTAAAAATGGTGTCGTTTGCAAGACACTATGAAATCCACCAATCATTCATTAAGCAGCCATTATTAGTACACAGAAATAAGTTCGTCATTGGCTGCTAATCACGTGATTGCAATGACTAATCAGAACTAGAGAGCTTCACAGGAAGAGAGTGATAAACTATTGTACCACGTAATCCGTCTCCTCTGATTGGGTATGGGCAAAGCTTCATAGGCATGGAAGAGATTGGAGAAATCTGGTCACGTGACCCCCTTCCTGATTGGACATAGGCATTCACCTCTATACTATAAATTCTTACAAGAAAAATTCTTGTGTGATCTTCCCAAAAAATTTTCACATATGAATTTCGGACAGGAACATACACGATCGTATAAGAATATATCGCGTACAATACCTGTGGATAAATCAAGAATCTTGCACCCATTTTACATGAATCCTATAAGCATGTTATATGATTCTTACATAGTACGTTACATGAATCTTGCACGCAGGTTATGTGAATTTTGCGCACATGTAACGTCAATCTTGTAAGAATATAACTGGAAATGTCATTATGAAAATATTACAAGAATACTATTGGAATTTGTGATGCCTGATTTATTATTTAAAATTCAAATAGCTATTTTTGTTAAAATTAAAATAAAATCTAAATCTTACTTTATTTGATGAGAGAATTTAAGAATTTGTTTTGTAAAATTATGATGAAGTTATGAGCAATTAATATCATTTTTTTTTATTTTCATCGTCTTATTATTTTTATTTAATTCGCAACAACTCAGTAACAAACAATCGTAGGGACATTTTTTATAAATGAATTTATAGAAAAAACTTAAGTTTTTATATTAGAAATTCAAAAATTTTTGCAAATTTTTTTTTAGGTATGTAACAGGTTCACAAAGTGAAGAAAAAATTTCCCGTTTTGTTTAACTCTTAGTTTTCTATATGTAAAAATTACAAAACTCATATAAATTAAAAAAATATAATAACAATTCAAAAGTAGAGATTTCAAGCTTTAAAACTCTTAAAATTTAAATTTCGTTTATTTTTAACAAAATTGCAGCTGTTTGAACTTTGAATAATAAATTGGGCACGAATTTTTACATTCACCCAATATGTTTTTTTTTAAGACTTGATACTTGGTCTTTCATATAACACTTAGGAATTATGCATAATTAATACCATATTCTTGGATGATTTTGTAAAGAAATTATTTTTTAAAAGTTTCTCATAAGATTAAGGCAAGATCTTTTCATGCATAATCGTCGTGTACGATTCATACCAGATTCTTGTATCAACATGGAAAATAAATTATTTCGTAATTATGTCTTATTAAGACTGATAAATGATCTTTCATGAAACACTTCAGAATCATATATAATTAATACCATATTTTTAGATAAGCCTGTAAAGAAATTATTTTTTAAAAGTTTCTTATAAGACTAAGGCCAAATCTTTTCATTGCGATATAAATCGTCGTGTACGATTCATTCCAGACTAAGGTCATTAAAGATTACTGATAAGATTCATGTACAAATTATATAAGATTTTTATATGATCATGTACGTGCATTTAGTAATCTTGATTGATCACATACAATTCTTTTAAAATCTGGTACAAAAAACTTACAAGAGTTTTCAATAGAGACGTTATGCAATTTGCCATTCTCTCCCTGTAAGGTTCTCTAATCAGAATACTTACAACACCAGTCGCACTTCTCTTATAAATCTAGGACACTATGTCAATCCATGGTGGAAAGATTACATTGTAAGGTGAGCTCCCGTATCTGATATTCCTTTAATGTCCATATCAGATTACCGATCGACGATTGACAATTGCTTGGTTCTATTTCAGCCAATTACGATAAACTCGCTACATCGTAATTGGATGAAGTAATCGGACAACTGTCAGTCGTAATTGTCAATCCGTAATCTGATAAGGGCATAAGGCTAAAGTCTCATGGAGCGGAAATTTGTAGCAGAACGGAACAGCGAGAAATCACAATCGTAGAAAAGAAAGCAGAGTAACGACTACAGAGTTGTGATTGGTCGTGCTGTTCCGTTCGATCCTCAATAAATTTCCGCCTCATGGGACGCCTAAGACTTCTACACTACTACTAACGAATATCAGCAGTGATACTACTGTGTTTCAGTAGTTACACTATTGAATGTCAGTAGTTGTCACTGTTGTGCACTATTATACATCAGAAGTTTTTTTCCGTAAGGCTAGTTACTTTTAAAAAGTTTTTATTCTCCTATAATCTCTACCTATAATCGATGTAAGTAACTTTGAATTCGAATTTCAGTGATTTTCATTGAATGTTACACGAAGATTTCTTAGGCCCGTGGGGCCTGTTAATTGTAATTGTGATAGGAGTAGGAATCATCCTAATCGCGTTGCTCCTGTTCGTCTGTTTTCTCATGCCCGGTTGTATCGGTTATGAATACTTCAGAAAACAACGTAAGTAACCATAAAATATTCCATTTAATTCTTTTTATATTAAATATATTTAATTATTCTCAAAGTACAATTCTCTGAAATATTATAGATCAATAAATAATATTTAAAAATAAAATTAACATCATGTGTGCCACCACACAAAGATAATTGTAGAGTTGTTTCAGTGTAAAATACTTGACATGTACAATCGCACATTATGAGGGAGTGGTTCACTTACACACTGTTGCAATTGCCTACTGCCAATCACAGCGACTTTTGCATAGGGAGTTTTTATATATCTTTTGATTCTGATGCTGTGATTGACTTGTGCGCAATGGGCTCGTGTGAAATTGATATACACCTATCTAGGTCGGTATTCATAATCCGTTTTTATTTCAAGATCGTCTTAAGTAATGTCTTAAGATGCTAATATGGCTCTCTGATTAGTTTGTGATGTGACATCTTAAGACTGTACTTAAGAAGATCTTACAATTAGAATCATATTGGGTCATCTAAAAAGTATCCGCGGTTTTTTGTTAGATGTGTTGATCATCAACACTATCTAGTGACAAAAAACCGCGGATACTTTGTAGATGACCCAATATAAATACCGCTCCTAGAGATCCTCTATGTAGAGATCGCTTACTGATAACACGCCTGTTCTTTTTAGCTGAACTTTTGCACCAATTCATCTTTCTACCTTTTCTCTCCAAGAGGAAAGAAGAGCAAGAAAGATGAACTGGTGCAAAAGTTCAACTAAAAAGAACAAGCCTTACGCCTTACATTTTTGTGCCATGGGCTTGATCGGAATGTTGACATAATATAATAGTGTATCACGGAGAGTGATATTATTTTCATTTGTATATACCTTTTTTAAATTATAATTGAGTAATACAAATTTGATAAGAAAAATTCAATAATAAACAGAGTTAATTGCGTATATGAACGCTTGTATAAATTCTATGGTGAAAAAAAAAATTTTGCTTTCTATTTACATCGAAACTCAGATAATTCTCATCTGTGATGTCATAATTCAATTGAATGCACGTTCTTTTTTCATTATGACAATTAAGATTTAACTGAGTTTTTGCTTACAATCTGCACAAGCTCAAGACCGTGTGTCTCGGCCGAAAAGGCCATTTTATTAATGACGTTTTCGGCAATAGCCATATAGCCTATGTAGTACATAAAACTTAAAGATTGTTTAAATAAGTATCTAAAATTATGGAAGAATATTTAAATATCGTATAAATGTTGAAGCATCAGCTTATAAATACGAAGAAAATAAAAATCCAGCGAAGAACATAAAAGTATTTATTTTTAAACCGCTATCTAGAACAAAAATGGATACTTAAAATATCTTTTCACAGGCAAAGAAGTTAAGAGTGTGCCTCTGCAAACGAAGAATCAAGAGAAGGAGAACTTAAAATTAAATGATGTCAGTTATAGATCTTGGAGACTTGGTAGTCTATACGAAAATGACAATAATGGTATAAATTTATTGCATTTTGTACAATTTTAGGACTGAAATCTTGATTGGTTTCACGTGTCTCAGATTACATGAGAACTTACCTTATTTTTTAATTACCAACTATTTTGCTAATACCTAATATATTGGGTCATCTAAAAAGTATCCGCGGTTTTTTGTCACTAGATGGTGTTGACCATCAACACTATCTAGTGACAAAAACCCGCGGATACTTTTTAGATGACCCAATATATTAGGTGTTGGAATTAATTCGTAGCGTTTTACAAGTGATGGGAAGTACTTTCATTAATGTATTTTTTAATGCTCATGTGAAATAAATAACATTCTTTCATTAAAAACGCTACGAATTAATTCCAACACCTAATATATCAATAGTTAAATAAACAGCAAGAGTAAATTGCAAGTCAGCAAATAATATTGATTCATCATCTTACATTACACTGGACTGTTATGATATAAAAATGTTATAAATTAATACACACAAATATATTATTTATTATGATTGAATTCGAAAATAAGTTTGGTTGGTGTAGAGAAAATAAAGTTGGCAGTATTGGAAATTACCAACGCTGTGTTGGAAGAAATTGTTCGATTTCTCCGGATTTTGGTGACTCACCCTGTACAAAATCTCTATGAGTTATACAATACATAAAATTGATGTTGAACAATGTGTTATATATTATGAGAACATTTTTAATGTTCTACTTACTATCTTGAAACACTTCAAAGCTTTCTTCTCTATTTTCATATTCACTTTGGCCTTCTAGTAGTCCCATCGGGAAAAACGAAACGCAGCGTTGGTAATTTTCAATGCCAACTTTACTTTGTTTCCCAATTAAACTTATTTTCGAACGCAACCTATATTTCATAAGTTTAATCCAATTTTCGTTTTTAGTCTATTTTCAGAAAAATGTCAACATTCTTTATAAATAATGTTTTCTTCGCATTATAATGGATATTGTAAATTAATTTAATTTAATTATGAGATTAGAAACAATTAAGACCGTTTATGTAAGAACACTTAAATACGAGAGAAGTGCCATTTTCGGTCAAAATTAGATGTTAAACTATGTATTGTTTGAATGAATTTATCTCATTGTCAGAAATATGACTGCATGTCTTTACTTTCGGACTTTCAACACAATTAATCTGAAATATTGGGTCATCTAAAAAGTATCCGCGGTACTTTGTCACTAGATATATCAGATAGACCATCAACACACATCTAGTGACAAAAAACTGCGGATACTTTTTAGATGACCCAATATTAATGATCTTCCGCAAATTGTAATAAGAAACGTGCCTTAAAAACTGTAAAGAATTTATTGTGAAAAGTATTACCTCAGTCAGGGATCTTAGACGATCAGTATTATTGATATGTCGTTTTAATTTTACATATAATATATATTGTACTGTGACATACTGTGGTACATCCTAATAAAGCGATACTGCTCAAGAATCAGATCCCAAGTAATTACATTTATGTTCCATATTAACATTTATGTTCCATAAGATAAGTTATAAGATATCTAAAAGACATCTTTTAAATATCTTATGTCTAAAAGATGTTTAAAAGACGTCTTTTAAATATCTTATACAACATATACGTCATCTGGGATTCAGATCATGGTCAGTATTCTACGTCAATCCGTCAATATTAACTACATACGATCGGTAACATCGTCAGAATTTGTTAATATTAACAGTACTATTGACTATGTAGAATTACCTTAATGGTGCCTTGAGTGGTTTCATGGTGAGAACACTTGCACGGAATGCTGTAAGAGATCCGCTGTGGATTCGATTCCTGACCGAGGTAATATTTTTTTGTTCTTTACAGGTTTTAAGATTTCTTATTAAGTTTCTTATTAAAATTTCGAAGGATAATTAATATTTACGATTGAGTGTGTTTAAAGTTCGAAAATAATCGGCGCGTAGTCATATTTCTCAAATAATGACATAAATTCATTTAAAGAAAAAAAAAAAAAATATATATATATACATATATACATACATATATTACATGTAAATACATGTAATATATACAGTACTCTCTATAAGTTTGGAAACATCCTACGTTTTATAGGAAAGTCATGACAGCGATCTATACATATTTTTGAAATACTTCGTAAGATGTCTAAATGACGATAAATTTTTATCTAGACCTCTAAATTTATACATATCGAAAATGTTGGACGATCATTCATTTTCACAGCATTAAAACGTTCAAGATTGAATCGCGCTTTGGTCTATTGTTTATATTGTCATTTGTTTTGCAATGTCGTATGTTCATTGTAAGGAAGATCGGGGTCAGTTGACTGTGGAGATAAGTAGAATAATCGAGGCTACATTAAAAACAAAATACGCGTAAACGTGCCTGAGCATGTAGCAGCGACTGCCGCTAAGTCTGCTGTAACATCTTGTTGCGAACACATGATAGAAGTTATGTCATAATTAAAAAAAATCATACATCTAAGTAAATATTTTTATTCTTAAAATTTTTATTTTACAATCGTATATGATTATCTGAGATATTTGATTTCTACTTAGATAGCAAGTGTAGTTCTTACTTAATAAAATCAACAACAGATTTTTTTTGTCTTTATGTGTTTTGTTATCGTTAATGTTTTTAAAAAATAACGGATGGGGATAGTAGACTAACTACAGCATGTTAGTTCCCTCAATCCAATCTCGAAACTAGACTTATTCGACGTGTTTTTGCACGAAATGAACAAATTTTGCAAAAAGAAGCATTGTTTTGCCTCGCGAAGCGAATGTTTGTGTTCAAAATATATTTTTATAAAAGTTTTATTAATATTAATAAAAGATGTAGTTTCAAATACATTAATCTTTCTTTTAATATCTTTTAAATCTAGTCGAATTACCCCGACCCCGGCGCTAGTTGAATCAGATGGAATGCGTTAGAAAAATGCATTTTTTTTTTCATATTAGTTATCAATTTCCCCTTATTATTAAAATATTATTAGGTAGTCAAATGTATGTAGTAACTAATGTAGAATTCATTTTTTCGATAAGTCTCTTAATTTTGTCTATAAAAATTCGAAACTGAAAAATGAGTCTATTAGCCCCGGTCTCCCCTATATATTACATGTATTAGTTTAACATCTAACTTAGACTGAAAGTGGCGCTCCTCTCATTAATTTTGATAAAATTTAAATCTAACCATAAATATTTGAAATGTGAAAGTGCCAAAAAATCATAAGAAATTATCTTAAAGTGAAAGATCACCCGAGAAAAAATGTTTTATATATAAAATTATATTAAAATATATAATTTTATATAATTATATTGTACATAGATGGACATATTTTATATATAGTTGTATATAATTATATATATTTATATCTATAATTATATATAAAATATGTCTATTTATATATAAATATATAAAATTATTATACATATATATATAATTTTATATAATTATATATAAAACATTTTTTTCCCGGGCAATGTCTATCATCGATCAGAAATTGATTTTTAGCGAAACAATAAAAAGGAATACGTTATGCAGGTACTATTAGTGAGAATGCAGAATCTCAGAGGAACTCGTTCAATTCTACCACTGCTCAGTATAAAAATATGGACTGTTCTTCTACACTGGTAATTGTGTACAATTAAATTTAACAAGAGCTTCATCATGTCGTACTATTTGGCAATTAATTTATTTTTCTAAAAATTACAGAATTTGATTTATCCAGATAAACAGAAAAATGATAAAAAGATGAAAGAGTTTCCAATCGAATTGACAATGAGCTTGCAATATTTGCCGCCCTGTGATAATATTATCCCCGGAAAGCTCGTTATCGGTATTGAAGTGCGTTATTGGCATCTTATACATGAAGTTATAATGAAGTTTATTAATAATAATATTAAAAATGTTTTATATTGATCCATTATTTACGTCGGTAGTTAAAATAAAATCACATAATAAAAATGAAATTCTATGACATTCTACATTTATCTGTTTTAGGCTCTATGTGGTCTTCCTCCCAAACAATATAACGGTACATTGGAACCTTACGTTGTATTGAATATTATGAAACAATCATGGAGCTACAAAAAGCGGCAAAAATTGCATAGTTTTAGAACAAGGGGCATCAAGCATACCGCCAATCCGATTTACAAAGAGACTTTTGTAATTGCAAACATAAAACCACAGGAAGCTAAGGTAAATTCTTTATTATACAGAATATCACATATTTGAAAAAAAAACCATTATATTACTATGTAAATACATATATTACTATGTAAATTAATATTTCTATTAATATAAATTAATTCTACAAGATAAGTTACAAACAAAAAAAAGTAATACTCGTTATCGAAAAAAAAATAACGAAAATGGTAATAAATAACATGTTACTTCACAATGTGAACCTGTATACATATATGTACATTCAGTATCAATTCTTTATTAGCATTATGTAGTCCATTTATTTGGAACTTGTATTTTCTATGAATGTACCTAATCATTCGATATATACATTATAAATTAATATCTCGTGAAGATTTAATAGTACGCGTATTGCTAATTTATTATACAAGATGTTAACGCCAGTATTCATAGTACTTATTTTTAAATAGTCTTAAGTAATGTTTTAAGACAGTGCTCGGAATTGCTCATTTCGGACAGATTCCTGAGGCGACCCCGACACTATCAGCACTAGAGCGTCGCGATACAAAAAGTATGCTAGGAGCATATCTTCCGGCAAATATTAAAATATTTTCTTTCCTACATGATTTTTATTTTAATATTTAAATTTTTTATTATTCACATATTAGGTGCATATTCTACAATAATATAATAAGCAATAATATAGTAAGCAATTATTATAATACTATAATTACGACATAATTACAGTATTATAATAATTGCTTACTATATTATTGTTGTATACTTTTTGTATCGCTCCTGGGGCATGTCACGTGGGCTCGGTCGCCGAGTGGTAGTGGGGATCGCCTCAGGAATTTGCCCGAAATGAGCAACTAATTCCGAGCACTGTTTTAAGATGCTAATACTGCTGAAGTTGACTTAGATCTTAAGACTGTAAGGGAGATCTATATGGCCCGACTATATGGATTGATTGTCAAGAAGTTAATATACAGGGTAATTTAAAAAAAACCTTTGTCCTTAAAGAGTCATATTTCTGATTTAATTCTAAGACGATTTTTTCTTTGCGAAAATTTTGTCTGAAGCTTAGTTTTCAAATTACAAAAAAAAATAGCGTAACATAGGCTGCATAGAGACGGGCAGGAGCGGCACTTATGGTTAAACGCGAGCGCTTTACGCGCGCGTACTGATCGGACGCATTTACACATTAATAAAATCACATTTTTTCTTACTTTTCCCCTGTACTACACTATCTCTTTGTCTTTCACATACTTTAAATATGATAATTTCGTTAAATTATAAATTAGAGCGATGAAATTAAAACGAATATTGAACCCTTTGAGTATCGGATTGTTTTTTAATTACATCGATAAAATTGTTAGAGAAATGTAATAAAAGAGCGAAATTAGATAATAATTACGTGCAATAAACATGTAATCAAAACTATTATTGACATACAAATCAAACAATTATTTCAGTACGCCGAATTCTAGAGAAGAGCGTTTCTTACAATTCGATATACCGAAAACTTATTAGACTTAACTGTATGTCAATAGACGTTACAATACTTGTAGCACGCAATTATTGTTCAATTTTTCACTTTTACAAAAATTTCTCTAACAATTTTATCTATGCTATCGCGCTCCTAGCATTTATTACATACTTATGAGAAGTCTTATGAGAAACGCGATCACACTTCTTAGCAGTCAAAGAGTTGTGAACATGGAGGACAGAGACTAAAGAGACTGAACTTATATGGACGAGGTCATCAAAAAGCGTGTTCAAAAGTGGTCATTTGAATTAGTTCGATCGAGATGTCGCTTTCGTTCCACGACATCATGGTTCTCGCAGTTTGCATGGTAGATCAGACCAATTTTACATAAAGAATGCTTCATTCTTCATGCAGTTTTAATGACAATTTATGTGAATTTACGTCTTGTTGTCATTGTCAAAACATAATGTCAAAGGATGATATCTCTACTCTTAGGTTATGTGTGTTCGATCGTGTATGTGTAAGCGTATGTAAGAGGAGTTTTGCGATTCGAGCGCCATCTACTGAGCATCAATACCAATAGAAACCTGATTTTAATTACTTTTTTCAAACCCTAGTAAGAAGAAATATATTTTTATAAACATGTGAATGCATTCGATCAGTATGCGCCCCGCGCGTAAAACACTCGCGTCTAACTGTGAGCGCCGCTCTTGTCCGTCTCCTCTACGCAGCCCGTGACTAATTATTTCTTCTTGTAATTTGAAAACTAAGCTTCAGACAAAATTTTCGCAAAGAAAAAATCATCTTAAAATTAAATCGGGAATATGACACTTTAAGGACAAATGTTTTTTTAATCACCCTGTATAATCAGTATGTAACATATAATGTGATTCAGAACAAATGTGTTTGTCATTAAAATATCGTGTCATTAAAATTTCCTGACTTAAGTCTAAAACAATTTTTTCCTTATCAAAATTTTATCAAAGCTTAGTATTCAAATTATATAACAAGAAATAGTTAGCGAAGACACGTATAGAAAATAGAAGTAAATTCGTTCTAGTAAGAGTCGAGACGTAAACGGTCCTCTTCATGATTAGTGTCATTATGTTTCAGTTTATTAATGTGAGTGTAATTAATGTTAGTGAATGTAAGTGAATAGAAGAACAATTTTTATTATTAGGTACGGACGATTTTTCGCTTCGATCTGAGTTAATTATCTTAAAATAATTATCGCGTCTAATTTGGCCATATTGATCCCTTTCTTATTTTTCTGAGGACAAGTCATTTATTAAAAGTAAGTCATTAGAGATATAAGTATTCTCATTCGCCATTTTGGTTCTACTTGATCAATAGGTTATAGTACGATTAATGACAAAGGTAAATATTAAGATATGAGTCCGTTCATCTCAAATTTTGATAAAAATACACTGAATCGATGCGGTTTCGCGTAAAAACCTTTGTAGAAAAGTATTACTGAGCACTAGGAATATTTTGAGGCACTACTGTACTATAACACTACAACACTATTGTACTACTACACTACTGTAGTAGTACAAGTGGGAGCGACCCGACTGTGCACATTATCGATCGAACACGGCAGTATTTCCCAATCAGACACAACTCAATTGGACACGGACCCGATCAGATACAGACGCAATCGGACACAGATTCAATTGGACACGGACCCAATCGGGCACGGACTTGATTGGACACACAGCGTTGCATTAGGACACGGACCCGATTACACACGGACCCGATTGCGCACAGATCCGATTTTGCACCGACTCGATTGCCCACCAACCCGATTGCGCACGATCCGATTGCACACAAATTGTTTTCACACTGTCTTCATGGGTTAGAAATATTTCGAGCGAATACTATCTACGCTGCAATTTCTAGGAGAATAGATCCCAAGCGAGTAGGATATGTTATTTATTTTTTCGAGACAGATAATTTGATTGAGTCTGTAACTAGGTCGGTGCGCAATTGGGTCGTTGGGCAATCGGATCGGTGGGCGTGTAATCGAGTCCGTGTCTTAATGCAACGCTGTGTGTCCGATTGAGTCCGTGTCCGATCAGATCCGTGTTCAATCGAATCTGTGTCCGATCGAGTCCATGTTTAATCGGGTCTATGTCCGATTGGAAAATACTGCCATGTCCGATCAATAATGTACACAATCGACCCTCACTCGTAATAATACAGAAGTATTCAGTAAAGCTAAGTAAGTGTTATAGAAAATCTTAGCATTACTCAGCATTACTAAACACTTCTGCACTACTACAGTAGTGTATAATAGTGCTGTAACACAGTAGTGCCTCTAAATACTCCTAGTGCTCAGTAGTACTTTTCTACAAGGGAATAAAGATTTGACTTGGCCACGAACCGAGATATTAGGTAATCCTTAACCTTTGATACACACCTTTGGGTTATTTGTATCCTGCGCATTTCTTTTCTTTGAAATATTAAGAGCACCTGGTCAAATACCGGTTTCTTTTCTATTCCTAAAAAAAATTTGGCATCTAGAAAACAAGTTTTGTAGAGCAATTTAATTATACGCTTTATCGCTAAGCGCTACATAAACTTACGATTTAAATACAGCATTAGAGAAATAATAAACAGTAATAAATAAGTATGAAATATGATATTAAAGATTATCTATAATAGAGTTATTCTACGAATTATAATAAATTATAATAACCATATTAATCATGGATTAATTCCTTTTTTTATTCAGTGAGTGGTTTTTTCGTTGAACGCATTCAATGAGCACATTCAGCGGACTTAACAGTTAAATGAGCGCTCGCTGTTATTAGTGTATTCTTTTAGCTCATCCAATCAGAATTTTAGATTTAGAAGAATACATCAATAGCAGCGAACGCTCTCTCAACTGTCTGCTGAATGCGCCCATTGTTTCATAATTTATTACAATTTATTATGATATTATTCAACTTTCTGGTTATGGAAAATAAATCCGTTTTTTGAAAATAAAAAGTATAAAGTAAAGTACAAAAGAGTACAAGTATTTTTTTAAATGATGTACTTATTAAATAAGGCCCACTTATGTGATTATTATTATTATAGTTATTATTATTTGTTTGTTATGAAATTTACGCCAGAGAATAACGATTTTCAATACTGCTATCTTTTAAAAAGCCACAATTGCATTAAAATTGATAGAAATTTTTAAAGATTGAAGAGTTAATCACAAAAAAATTATAATGTTTGAAAGAGTAAGTCCCAAGTATTTCTTTCTTTGATTATTTTTAATTCATTTTAAAACTTTACTGATTGAGAAAGATGTTTACTTTCTTTGTTATTTTTAATTTACTTTTGATTTGAGCTTTATATTCATATGTAATAAGGCCCAATGGCAAAGTTTTTTTTTTCGTTCATTTATACACATATTCATAAATATTCTGTATAAACAATATATTTTATTTTTGGGAGTGAATGAAATGAAAATTTGATTCTCACTTATTTCAATATTTCCATAAATAGAAATTAAAAAAAAATAAAATAAGTTAGGTAAGCCTTATTCGGTTCAGGTATCTTAAAATGTCTGAATGTCTTTTCTTAACACTATGTAGCAACATAGCGTTTCAAAATTTTAAATCAACTTTTTTTTTCTAAAATTGATTATAATTCGAAAACTATTACAATCAGTCCCAGAGTCTCTCCTATTTAAGACAGTCTTAAATACATATATTACATAAGATCCGACTATGAGTACCGACCTGAAAACATCTATGATGGATAGTCAATACCAGTCAATACACGTAAGTTGTATTCCGTACTCTATAATTATGTTTACATGGCTCGATTTACGCCGAAATTATAATATAATATAACATCGATTAGGAAATATTGGCTGAACATAATCATTCCATTCATTTCAGTCGTTCCATTCTTCAGAGGAATAACTATGATTAGCCAGTTTCATAATATCAATGTTATAACTTCGAGCAGTAAATGTAGTTATTAAATAACAATACTTATCGCAGGCGATGGAGCAAAATGCTTCGATTAACTTCTAATAATTATTTTTTTTTCAGGAATGGATATTAGATATCGCTGCGTATGATCATGATAGATATGCAAATCACACAGAATTATGTTCGCTTAAGGTATTGCTAAAAGATATAAAGAAGATATTTTACAGCCCGGAAATTCACATGTTTAATTATAAAATGAAGCCGTCTTATCAGGTGATATATTAATAATATTATACATAAATTAAAAAAATAAGTGATAAATTAAAAATTGTAGTTAATAACAAATACAAATTAAAAAAAAAAGATAATAAATAATAACACAAATTTTTTAACACTTCGAAACAAAAGTTAAAAAAAAAAATAAATGAATCAGTGAGTGCAGAAAGAAACAAGTCCAATTTTGTTCGAAAATAAATTTTTTTTTATTAATCTTAAAATGGATAGGTGTGCTTTTAGTGCAAATTATCCCAAGCTTCTATGGGCCTAAAATTGAAAATGAACACACTTGTAAACAGAAACAGCATTAGTGCAAGACTCGCAAGATTGGGAAAAAATGGAATGCTACTAATCCCATTTAGCTTTTGATGAGATTTCCGAATGATTAATGACTAAACTTAAAGAGCTTAATAATTAGTGTTTTAATAGTGTTTTCGAAAATATGTTGTGTAAATTATCTCATGTTGTTTGAATTTAAAATAAAGAGAAATAATTGTTGCTTAACAATAAATAAACTATCTATAGTATCTAATGTACTATAAAAATTTTTATTTTTTTTGGTACAGAATAGATATTCAAATTAAAAATTTAAGATTTTCATTTAAAAGGTAAGATTCTCCTACAACGCGAAATATTGCAGCAGTATTTCAATAGTGCATTATATTACAAACATTGCATCAATATTGCTGCAATATTAAAATTTTAATATTTTATTGGAAGTATTACAATATTGCAATATAACTAATCTGTGCTTCGCGGATTTTCTCCATGTCTTGGTCCATTCTTGATGTGCCAACGTTTCGTGGGCCTTGCAGTCCACTTCATCAGGGCGAGGAGCAGCCTGATACTGAGCTGTTCCTCCAGGTCCTTCCTTTTTATGTTACGCTACTTGTTGAGGTGGGAGTTTTTTGGTGGTGGAGGGGGGGGGTTAGAGTGATGGGGGAGACAGATAGTGGAATCTTGGTCGGTCTTTGCTGGTCGGGAGGATGGTCTTCCATATCTTACTTATGTTATAGCCATTATCCCTGTTTAGATTGTTAGGGTGTTTTTGTATTTCTATGGCTTCTCTGTATTTTCTTGGGAAGTATGATGTGGTGTTGGTTATCATGGTTGCTTGGTCAAACAGTATTTGATGTCCTGTTTCGACGTTATGTTCTGATAGTGCCGACTGTGTGACGTGTTTCAGTCTGACGTCTCGTTGGTGTTCTTTTATCCGTAGGTTTCCCATTCTCCCGGTTTCCCCGATGTATACTTGTCCGCAGGAACACGGTATTCTGTATACTCCTGCGGAACTGAGTGGCGGTCTTGGATCTTCGGGATTTCTTAAGATTTGTCCTATCTTCTAAAGGTCTAAAGGTCTCTCCTAAAAGTCTGCTCTCGGATAAAACGTATAGAAAGCTTGACAAGGATCCAACCAACACAATCACACAGAACACCAGGGAAACACCTTGTGGAAAAAAGCAACATCCCAAATGAAATAAAAAAAACATTAAAACCCACAAACCCTCTCCCACCGAGACTATACGGACTACCAAAAATACAAAAACCCAACGTCCCCCTCAGACCAATTGTTAGCGCCATAAAGTCCCCGACATTTAACCTATCCCGCTTCCTAGCAAAAACACTACAACTTCTGACTGGAAAAACAGAATCACACATAACCAACTCAACGGACTTCATACATAAAATCTAAAAAATCCGACTACAGCCCACAGATCTACTCGTTAGCTTCGACGTAGAATCCCTGTTTACACAGGTCCCAATAAAAGATACGATTAACATAATAAAAACCTCACAAAAAGTCTCCTCCGACCTCATCCCACTAATAGAGCACTGCTTAACGACCACGTACTTCTCCTACGACAACCATTTCTACGAACAAACGTCAGGAGCAGCTATGGGCTCTCCGATTTCTCCTGTAATCGCTAACATCTTCATGAAACACTTCGAGAAAGAGGCTCTCAGGAAAGCACCAAAGAAACCAGAAGTCTGGTTCCGGTACGTAGACGACACATTTGTGATATGGAGACACGGCAGATCTGAACTCCGAAAATTCCTCATCCACCTCAACAAACAACACCCCAATATC